TCGATTCATAGACATGGACATACAAACTGGAGGAGAACCGATTTTCCGACCCAAGATGTGAGCTCTGTGATGAATACAAGGGCAAAAATAGTGAGAATGAGAGTCATGGTGGAACTGGAGCTGGGACACGTAGCGCGTCAGAGGGTTGGGCGCGTACTTTCCTTCGGCTCCGCCCTACAAAAAGCACAGCACCGTCAGCACGTCCTTGGAACTGATGGCCCGCGACGACGCGTGAGGGTCATTCAAATATGCTCCACACAGATCAAAGGCGACCTCCTCCTCCTTCGTTAAGCGTATTATCATCCATGACCGTGTCTGGTACGCCCAACCCGTTGACGCCCATGAGGTCCATCCCTCCACCTCTCGGATCGGTTGCAGTCAAACGCATCACTTTAACATCCAAGAAAAATTGGTGGATGGGTGCGCGCGCAATGTGCATCCGATCAGCACCAGACTAATCGTGGTGTTTTCAGTCGAGCTCGATGAGGAGGAGAACAAGCTAAACGCCGCACAACCTTTCCCTTCTCATGCTGAACCCGTTCTCAACGACTATTCCCATCCTCTACCGCCCTCCGCGCCAGCCATTCCGTCCTCTCCAACCTTTAATGCACCTAGAAATCCAACAAACATTTTTTCTTTCCCCACCCCTTCCATCTATGCGGCTCCGCCCAACCCCACGGCATCACTATCGCCCTTCGCCCAGGGCTCTGCATCCGAGCTCTTCAAATGCATTGTAAAAAAGCCAGAGATCGTGCAACTCGAGATCAACGACGAGATGCAAAGTAACGCCCTAGATGTCACTATTCAATTCCTTGCCGAGTTGCGCGTCTATACTCATGTAGCGCCGCATCGAAATCTCCCCGTCTTCCTGGGCTGCCTGGACGGCGTAGGAATGGTTCTCGAATTTCTGGAGGGAGGGACGCTCTACGACTATCTCAAACAGTACGCACCGCTGCCGCGGATCCGCTTGTGCGATTTTCACAACCAGCTCCTCGACGCGCTCACCCACATCCATGCGTTCGGGCTGTCACACGGAGACCTCTCGTTGCTGAACGTCCAGGTGATCGAGAGGTTCGGGGAACTGACGCTCAAGTTGATCGACTTTGGCCGGTCTGTGGCGGCCACTTCGGTGCTCGCGGCTCCAGACGTCGAACCGGCTGACCCCTGGGCGCACGTGAATACAGACCGACCCGAGCCGCGCGTAGAGCAAATATTTCCCGGCACGCGTCCTTTCTCCGCCCCGGAAATTTTGCGAGGGGAGTGTCATGATGCCCGCCTCGCGGACGCGTACAGTTTTGGAATGGTCTTGGTGTGTTTGGAGCGGGGGCAGCTTGTTGACGTGAAGCCCTGGGACCAGCGGAAAGACCTTCTCCCCGAGGACTTGCTGGATGGGTGTACATCATTTGGTGGAAGGACGACGCAGTACCTAAGGAGATGGGATGAGCGAAGAAGGCTCTTGCGCGAGGACATGGTCGACATGGCGAATGCCTGAGACTAATGGCGGTGGTATGTTATGAATTATCGAACGGCTCAGCATCTTGTATGCAGTGTTTATTATACCCCGCGGGATTGAACGTCCCTGTGTAGCTAGCCCTGTACTGTCCAGTGTAAACAAGACCACACAACTGCTACTCCAACCTCCCATTCAATCGTGGGGTCACTTCATTGCTCTCATGGCTTTCGTTCATCCTTCCCGTATGGCCCTCGTGCCCAAAGAGCCGGCCTCTGCTCGCTCCTCCGGTAGTCGTGACTACAGAGGTCCATACTTGGACCGAGATGACGAACGACGACGTGAGCATGGCCGAGCCCGTAGCGGTGACCGCGAAGTGCGTCGTGACGAAGATGGCCGCGAAAGCCGTCACCACAGCAATGGCGACAGACACCACGACGACCGTAGAGACGAGGATATCGAGAACGGCGGCTCAAGACGAGAGCGATCTTGGAGGGATGATCGCCCTTCTGGCCGGTCTCCGCTCCCACCATCCAAGTCTCTCTCTGGGCGCGCGAGTCCCAGATACGATGACTACTCCCGTCGAGATTCTACCCCCCCGCCACCACCACCACCACCACCGCCCCGCGACGACAGATACAGGCGGACAGATACGCCATCCGAAAACGGCCCTCCTTGGCGGCAGCAGGAAAACATGTACAGAAGGGACAGCCGGGTGGACGCGGGGGGTGACTATTTTGAACGGTAAGCGGCTCATGAGTCCGTCCGCCAGAACCCCTCATAACCTTTTTGCTCTTCTAGGCGTCGGCAGCAGCGTGTCAATAATACCTTCAGCATCTGGCCACCGTCCCCTCGTGCGCCTGCCCGGAAACTGTGCGCATTCCTTACTCCCCTCAATCACCCGGCAGCTACTAACCTCCTCTCCGTAGGCCACAGGAGCGAGACTTGGAATCTCGCAAAAAACACAAACGGGCTCGTTCCACCTCTGTCTCATCTTCGTCAACGGATAGTGAAGAGGACCGGAGGCGCCGTGAAAGAAAAGAACACAAGCGGGCTCGGAAGGAAAAGGACAAGCGAGGACGGCGCCATCAACGCTCTCACACTGACTCGGATGATGAACCCCGTGAGCACCGCCGCGATAGGAGGAAGCGTAGCCGGTCAGTAAACCGTGAGGATCGCAAAACTCGATCACGAACGCGAAGTCCACGCCGCATCCAGTCAAGTGACGAAGATGACTGGGTGGAGAAACCCGCGCCTTCCGGCTCATTTGTTCCCGCTGTCCCCACTACCATTCCGGTACCGAACGTTCCATCACCGTCTACCACTCGGACTGCCCAGAAGGATGCGATCGATGATGATGTGTCCGATGAGGAACTTGGTCCACAGCCAGCCCTGGTGCCATCGACTACCAAGAAACTTGATGAACGCGCCTACGGTGGAGCTCTCCTGCGCGGAGAAGGCAGTGCCATGGCCGCATTCTTACAGGATGGCACGGATGTGCGCATTCCGCGCCGTGGAGAAATCGGTCTTACCTCTGACGAAATCGGCAAGTTCGAGTCAGTGGGGTATGTGATGAGCGGCTCGCGGCACCGTCGCATGAACGCGGTACGCATGCGCAAAGAAAACCAGGTTATCAGTGCCGAGGAAAAACGAGGAATATTGAAATTGCAACAGGAGGAGAAACAGAGACGCGAAGCTATTCTGAGGGAGGAGTTCCAAGAGCTCTTAACAGATCGACTCAAGGGAACAGAAGGCGCAAAAGCCTCATCATAGACAACTTTGATGATTCACATCTACTGTTATAAATCGTGTCCCATTTGTTTTCGCCCCGAATGCAATGTCCAACGATTAGCACGGAGCCTGTGCATCCGAATGAATCTATGACCGATGGACGAGGTAGATAACACTAGTACGAGACACGAGCGACATAAAATCCCGAAGTACATAGCAAGGTCTTCACAATTCTTCATGAGTAGAAGATTTGCTGGTCAAGCCAACGAGCTCGACGTCGAAGACCAACGCCGAGTTGGCTGGAATCACGGACCCGAATCCACGCTGCCCTAGATAACGGGCATCAAACGGCAAACGACGAAACAGGTGACGAATCACGAACCGTAAGCCATGTCGGAAGGGATGGTAAGGGTGCGCTTCTCGCCGACGCACATCCCGACGAGGCCTTCGTCCCAACCCCTGATGACTTGTCCGACGCCGACTAGAGAGAGGAAGCGAGGAGTTAAAGCGACGAGCGCAAAGGGCCCTCACACAGAGCGATGGAGAAAGAGAGACGGCCGCACGAGTCAAGGGCAATGGTTGGCCACGGTCGTGGCTGTGTCGTTTCGTGCCGTCAGCGCCGCGGGTTAACGAAATAAAAAATAAAAAAAGGGGGGGGGGGACGACGCCCGCTTGCGTTCGTACACGCACCTCGAGTCAAACTTGACGCCGTTGGAGAACAACTTTCCGGTCTGCAGGGGCCAAGACGTAAAGGGAGAGAGAGGAAGTCTTTTGAGCTCCCTTTCCCGTACATTTACGAAAGAAAAAAGAATGCGCAGGGGACCGGACGCACGTAGTGAACCTTGATCGCGTCGCCCTTCTTTGCTTTGGTCGCGCAGTCCGACGGCGCGTACGTCGTCCTGATGTCAAGCTCCTTTGGCGGGGCTTGCTGGGCGGCAACGAGCAAAGCCAGCGCAAAGGCGGAAAACCACTGTAGCAGCTGCATGTTGTTCGGCGTTTTCTGCGCGCGTTCAAAGCAGATGGGTTGGGAGGAGGTAAATAAGGTCGTGATGCGTTTCGATCAGTTCGGTTCGGTTCGGTTGCTGCTGGCAGAGGCCGTGGGACTTTATTTTCCACCTGGCTGTATAGTTCCTTATACGTGACGGAAAACTTTATTTCCCACATCATCATCACGCAAGGGCAAGGCAACACTCCTCATTCACACGATGGTGCGTAGGGGTGAACTCGCTGCGACTCCTTGAAACGCTCACTCTCCCTTCAACTAGCCTTCTCAAAAGTCATTCCGTACAAAGCGCATTCTTGCCAAGGCTTCGCGGCAGAACCGGTAAACCGCTCTCGTTGTGGTCCATACACCTTTCACCTTCTCACGTTCGAATGCAGACCCATTCCTCAATGGTTCCGTCTAAAGACAGACTCCAAGATCCAAGTGCGTCATTTGGTGCTCTCTAATCCCTCTGAAACTGACACTCGCTGGCAATGTAGTACAATGCAAAACGCCGTCATTGGAGACGCACGAAGCTGAACATATGAGTGTATGACGGTGTTGGACGGGAGATCGCAGTTATCACGTTTATCCCCCAGGAATGTAGATTTCCGAGGGTGCATCCTCATTTCGAAAATCTGTTCCATCGAGACCGCATCATTGTGTGTTCCTAAACTGTGATCCCTACGACGGGTGCGGGGCATGATGTACATGTGTGATCACCCCAGAAGCCAGAGAGCAGCCATCCTCCCTGCTGCCCTGAAGCGATATCATTACAGGGCTACGGTCAGTTTGGTAGTATCAAAATACATGACTGTATGAAGGAAAAAAAAATGCTGCGCTGACTGGGAGTCGAACCCAGGGCTGCTCATCACATAGATATGGGAATGAACAAGGTTACCGTTACCCCACCAGTGCTTACATTGGAGAATTACAATTCCCCTTGTATCTCGCTCTCATCAGAATTGGGCTTGTACTCTTTGGGCATAATACTGTGAAAAGGTTCTTGGGCCGTGGATTTCGCTTTAGCGATGCGTTTCTAGAACGGCAATGTGCGAAGTGTGTGAGTCATTAGGGTGTCGGGGACAGGGAGAGCATGAGGCCGTAGCGTGACTCTTTGAACCGTCACCACCATGGCGGACGTACCGACGCTAAGCATCACGCTCTTGGGTGCAGGCCAAGAAGTTGGAAGGTCGTGCTGTGTGCTTCAATACAGAAAGATCACGATCGTTCTGGATGCTGGTGTACATCCCGCCCATACAGGAATGGCGTCTCTGCCCTTCGTTGACGAACTAGACTGGAGCACGGTAGATGCAATACTCATCACCCAGTGCGCTACCTTCCACCCTCTTCATCGAGAACAGTATGTTCAACACCTCGTGCAGCTTCCATCTAGATCATGCGGCAGCCTTGACATACATCACCGAAAAGGTGCGGGTGGCTGCGCTCGACTCAATGGCGTATTCTCAATTCTTTCAATTCACGTAGACGAACTTCAGAGAGGGAAAAGGCAAAGTTTACATGACTCATCCAACGAAAGCGCTTCACAAGTTTATGATGCAGGACTTCGTCCGGATGAGGTACGTGCTAAAGGATGCTATACTTCTCGCTTACTTATGTCTCTTCCAGCAATTCCTCAACGGACGCTCTGATCTCACCTCTTGATTTGTCAATGTCCATCTCTTCCATTATACCCGTCTCGGTTCACCAGCTGATTACGCCCTGCCCTGGTGTAACTTTCACTCCATACCACGCGGGGCACGTTCTTGGGGCGTGCATGTACATGATTGACATAGCCGGCCTCAAAGTTCTCTACACAGGTGATTATTCTCGCGAGGAAGACCGCCATCTCGTCAAGGCAGAAATACCTCCTATACGTCCAGGACGTGCTCATTGTCGAGAGTACCTACGGTGTGCAAAGCCTCGAGGGGCGTGAGGAAAAGGAATTGCGCTTTACGAACCTTGTGCATTCTATCATTCGCCGGGGAGGACATGTGCTACTTCCAACATTTGCGCTGGGGCGTGCACAAGAGCTCCTGCTTATCCTTGACGAGTACTGGAAGAAACACCCCGACCTGCACAACGTTCCCATCTATTACGCTTCGAGCCTTGCTCGCAAATGTATGGCCGTGTTCCAAACATATATCCATACTATGAATTCCAACATTCGATCAAGGTTTGCGAGGAGAGACAACCCGTTTGTTTTCAAGTACGTTCCTTTTATCTCTCGTCTTATTGCGTTTCGTTCAGTTCTTGCTCAGGCACATCTCAAACGTGCCTCAAGCTCGCGGTTGGGAGCGCAAAATCGCCGAGGGACCCCCCTGTGTCGTTCTGGCCAGTCCCGGAATGTTGCAAAGCGGCACAAGCAGAGAGCTCTTCGAACTCTGGGCCCCTGATTCTCGAAACGGACTCATCGTTACCGGTTACTCTGTTGAGGGCACGCCAGCACGGGTGAGTCACGCTTCACTTCGGGGACTTTCTGGTAGCGTAGAGTTTCGGAAGCGCAGAGGTAATTTTCACCGCGTGTATATACAAAGCAATGGATGTCGTTCTCCTATCGCGTGCGATTCCCAAGTCTTTCACCTCCTTGATGAGGGGTACATTCGAGGACTTTTGCTGATCACATCGTATGAATAGGAAATCATGAATGAACCAGCCGAGATAGCTGGGATGAAGGGCAACACCATCCCACGGAAGATTTCCGTGGATTACATCTCCTTTAGCGCACACGTCGACTACTCACAAAATTCCGAGTTCATTGATTTAATCAAGGCGCCTCACATTGTGCGTTCTTCCCCCTCTTCTCGACCCATTCCTTCGACCCGCATCGCAGGTGCTCGTGCATGGAGAACAAACGGCCATGGGTCGCCTGAGGGCTGCGCTACAAGCCAAATATAAGAATCGGGATGAGGACATAAAAATCCACTCGCCACGCAACCTCGAGACGTTGAACCTGACCTTCCGTCCCGAACGAGTGGCCAAAGTAATCGGGAGTTTGGCTGCCAAACCACCCCAGACAAATGACGTCCTCTCCGGCCTGCTCGTGTCGAAAGACTACTCATACACGTTGTTGGATCCTCGCGACTTGCGGGACTTCGCTGGCCTTTCAACGTGTGTTGTGACCCAACGCCAGAAAATCGCTCTTGGCGTCGGATGGAGTCTCGTGCGATGGCATTTGGAGGGTATGTATGGCCGTGTTGAAGAGGGTTTGGATCGGGACGGGATTCCGACGATGCGGGTATGTTCACTAGATGGGAATCCTAGAAGGACGGAACTGATCTCCAGAGTTGCATCAGGTAATGGGCGCGGTGGACGTGAAACAGACGGCCGAAAACGAACTCACGTTGGAGTGGGATTCGAGCGCCGCAAATGATATGATTGCTGATTCGACACTCGCCGTCATCACCGAGATCGACAAGAGCCCAGCATCAGTAAAAAGTATGGTCCCTTGTAACTGCATCTGTCTACGCATAGCTCATAACCTAATCTTGGTACCTAGTGACGGCTGGAACACAAGGGCATCGACATGACCACGATCATCACCCACATTCGGACCACGACTATGTGCATAGCCCGATGGTGCGCATTCAGCGGCTGGGCATGTTCCTGGAAGCCCATTTCGGCGACGTTGAATACCACATGCCGGACGAGATGGAAGCGGACCAGGAGGAATCGACATCCCAGGGCGAGCCATCATTCCTGATCCAACTGGACGACGCAGAGGCCCGCATCAATCTGCTTTCTATGGCACGGTCCTGCCTTTCTACGTTGTACATTTTTCCCTGACATCTTTATGCACAGACGGTCGATAGCGGCAGCGAGGTACTGCGGAGACGTGTTGAGGCGGTCCTCGAGATGGCAACATCCACCGTATGTTCGCTCAGCGAGTCGTTCGTGTCCGGCGCGCCTGAGGAGTCCTCAAGCGGTCGCATTCATAAGCCGAAAGGAGACGCCCCTTCATCGGATGCGGAGGAAAGCATGAGAGCGGGGGAATCGTCGACGGTCGATGAGGAAGACAGGTCTCCTCCCGAGGCTGAAACTGAACGACGAGACGATGATTGACGCTAGGCGTCACTGCCAACGATGGGTACGATACAATAGATAATGCGTGTACTTTACTTTTCTCGTAAATTCAAATCAAACGTTGCTCGACGTCTCGGACAGCCTCGGCGCTCTTCTTTGTTATATTCTCGGAAACCCCCCCTCGATTCTTACGGCGCGTACGTTCATGCGTCGTGGCTCCCTGTCACGGACCAAACCTCGCTCTCCCGTGCCACCACCATCCTCGTTTCCATCTGGTCTTCAGCCGAACGCGTCGCGAGGTGACCGGAGAGGAAACCGCGCTGAGACCAACATGAGACGGACGTCTCGTAGGAAGATGAACTTTGAGCAAGCGCTGCAAGCAGGGGAGACTATGGTGATAAGGCAGGGGATTGATATTGTTAGACTCGGGGGAGAAGAAGACATGGCGCCATCTGTAAGAGATTTCAATTTCTTTTTTTCTTTCTTTCCCCCCCCCTTGTCTCCGCTCCCCGCGCCTCTCCCTGGTCGTTGATACCGTCCACGGCCACACAGAGTATGATTCAGCAAACGGACTCGCCCCCCCTCCCTCCTCCCACGCCCGCCCAACTCAAACGCTCACTTGCTTCTCCCGCCCACGGCCCCCTTGCCTCCGCCTCTGCTTCGGCCTCGACGACCTCATCCTCTTGCTCCGACGAATTGTTTTATGACGCCGAAGACCCTGACTACCAAACAAAGCGCCGCTCCATGTACCGATCCCAGGGAACTGCGAGCAGTCCCGACCTCGCAACCCTCGTCCGCAAAGCGAAACAACGGGCGAGCATATTGCCATCCCAACTAATCAGCAAGGACAAGCGCCATGAAGCTACACCCCCATTACCTGCTGGCCCCCACGCGCCGTCGGACCCTGCACCGCGACCTCGCCACAGGTCCTCCACGTCATCCTCCGGCATGGTCGTTGTCCCCACCGTCACTCCGTCGGCCATGCAGAAAGCCAAGCTTCAGAAGTCTCGACAATCCGCCGGTCCATCCAGCGGCGCTGACGTGGCGCCCGCGAGCTCGAGCCATGACAACGGAAGTGTCAAGGTAGGCGTTCAGACTTTTCCCTCGCATGAAGCCACTGACAACCCTCCAGAACCCGAAAGCTTCGGTTCGGCAAAAGACAAGTGCGTTCTGGGGCAGGGTGCTTGGTCAAAACTTGACCCGCGAACGTTCGGTAAGTGGTTCTGTCACTCCCGTTGCCGTATCCGTAACGCGCCTCTCCGCCCAGAAAACCGATGCGTCCTCGCCATCGCAACGAACGCGACCGACGCTTCCACTCGTCCCGCCGTTACCTACAGGCCGCGCTTCTCCTGCCCCATCTCCGTCGTTGGAGACTAGCTCGACTTCTCCCCGACTACCCCCCATTTTGACAACATCTGACATGTCGAAACCACTTCCTCCTCTTCAAATTGAACCTTCGGAAAGCGGTGAGAGCGTTATGGTTATTCCTCCATCACTCGTAGTCATCGAGCGTGGGTACCTTCCAGGACTCTCTCCCTGGTCACCCTCCCCTGGTCAGACGGTGCGCGCTCGTGATACGTTGACGCCGGCCAGGGCGCTGAGTCACGGCAAACGGCGAAGCATGTCTGTTGGCGAGGTTGACCTTAAGAAAGCCCCAAGTTCTTTGCCTGGTGCACTACCTGACTCAAGCGCACCTGACAAGCGCAGTGAGGAATCAATGGGGTTAGACTCCGCAATACGTGGCATTATCTCCGACTTCCAGGGGGAACTGTCACAATTTGATCAAGATCCCGCCGCGACAACGAAGTTGTTAGACCTCCGTGTACCGTCGGCGTCACCTCAACGGCTGACGAGGCTGCGCATCCGGAGTGCCGAGCCGACCACCTCAACTTCGA